GTAGTAGGAGTAGTAGTAGTAGTAGATGATTAGAATTTGTAGTGTGATTAGTTTTACTATAGCTACGACTACTTTGAATGTTTTACTATTAATGCCCACATGGAGTTGTCATCGTGTTCAATACTGCCTCGCTGAACGGCTCAAGAAATATTATTTACATGAAACAGAGAAAGCCTTCGATTCGAAGCAGACGTGAGCATGAAAATCGAGCTCTAGTTTTGGACCGTCTGTTCTTGATTGCGAGAGGCTTCATGCACATGCACAAGAGCTGGATAGAACAAAGCATATCAGCGCTACCATCACACAACACTATGTAGGGACTTTTCCGCAGCTATGGCCCGTAGAAGCAGGCGTGCCGAAGAGTCAAGTGACCCTGCGGTAAAGTTGTTTGTGATCTCCAGCGCTTGGCCGTACAAGCCGACGCATTCGCCCTTACAGCCCCTCGTTTTGTTACACGGGGCGACCGGTCCCGCAGACTTCACGGGTCCAGAAAGTGCCTGCCACCAGCACATTGGGCTGGCGAGGTCGGTGCTGCGACGCGACAAAAACGACCTGCTTTTCGTGATAGACGTATCTGACGTTGCTGAATGCCAAGACTGGCAAGCGGAAGTGGTCCGGCCAGCAAGGTCCAGACGGATGTTGGAGCGTTGGTTTGCCAAGTTCAATCCCAGGGAGGCCACGGTGATCGCATTCGGAAACGATGCCGAGCTGTGGGTGCCGCTTGTGAGACTTCACGACGAGCCGCGCATCTCAAAGCTGATAGTGCTGGGCGATCCTCCATGCCAGAAATCTGTAGCGCAACTCGCCGCAGGACATGTTGAGGTTTGCATCCTGGGCACTGGATTTAGCATGGAAGCGCTGGTGGACGCACTGGGTTCTCAGAGCTCAGCATCAAGACTTGATGTGGAGGATCTACACTTCACTTTTGTGAACTTCGACATTAACCCTAAATCCAAACAGTTGGTCTTGCACTCAGCTGGCTATCTGCCACCTTTCAGCATGCGCATGCACGTGTGGTAGACTGCTAGACTGCTAGACACCTATCCAAGGTGCAAACTGGACATAATGTTACACTGTCGACCGTGGAGAGCTTCCGAAGCTTGACCGGGTCTGTTCTACCTCAAGAAAGGCCTCCTGGGCCACTTGTTGCTGGTAAATCTTTGGGACTGCGGCCACCAGTTTCCGTGGATCCAGACCCCATCCCTGCCGATGTAGTTGCGGCACTCAACAACAAAGTTGAGCGGGACATCTTGCCCGGCACTTTCTCGACGCAGCTCCTGGCTCCAGGCGCAGCATTTTCCGGCCTTATCGTGAACATCCAGACTTGTTCCTACGACGAAGATGCGAGTGTGTTGAGAGCGCTGCTGGCCGACGCGCATGGATCTGTGGAAGGCCTTTTCCCAACAACCCTGGCAAAAATGATTGTTCCAGGCAAGTCTGTGGCAGTTTCAGGGAGAACACTTTCACTTCAAGGCCGCCTGCTGGTAATTGGCCAGGAAGCGACCCCCAACCAAGGCCTGCGGGACGGCTACATGCCAGTTTCAGATGGGCGGCGGAATGTGTCGGATGTTTCCAGAAAGTTTGGCTGCTTGGTCCTCAGGGGACGAAAGTGCGTCTTGGCACGGGATTGCGACAAGCAACTGCACATACCAGTTGATGAGGCGCGGAATTCTGAGACGGCACAGCAGGCCGCAACACGAGCAGTAGCGGAATCCTGCGATATCTACCCCGAAGAGTTTGCATTGCTTGGTGATGTTCCACCTGCTGTGTATTACGAGACGGCTGGTCAAGCGAAGCCGCAGGTTGTCTCAATATTCGCAGCAGTGGCAACCAGCCCACCACCACCGGGTAGTGCTGAAGATGCAGATACCATCGAAGATGTGGAAGATATGTACGACTGGTTCCCCTTCGAACAGGCGCTCTCCCTACTGTCTGTGAATGAGCGGCACGCCATTGCCAGGTTAGCGTGCGGACCCTTGGCTTCTATCATTGTCCGGTCCCGGCATGTCTTAGCTTTCGCAGGAGGCCCTTAGCTGGATTCTGCATTTCAAGTCCTAGAGAACTCTGTTGGCCTGCAAGCTGGCATGGATTGTGCCATGTCATGCAGCCCGACTACTCCGCGGTCGGGCAACCCAACATGTACAGCCACACCCATGCACGTACGTGCCATCGCTTCCACCTTGAACGTGTGCATCTGCCACAAAAAGTCAGGAAGACCAGGCGGGCAGAAACACCAGTTATGACAGGGTTGGAATAGATGGGCTGTGCGGATGGCATCGGTTTCCTGGAAGTCGTCAACATGCCGCACAAAATCTAGGGCCGTCTTGTTGTCTTTTTCCGATGGAAGATGGGCATTGCTTGAGTTTGCATGCCTGCACCCTCAACCCTCCAAAACGATCTAAGATGTGGCCTGCGCTGTGGATGCTGGTATTGTCACCGTGGACTTCCCATGCACGTTCGGCTGTGGTGCTGGATTTGGACAACTCTCTCAGATCCTGCCCCCACCGCCACCAGGACGTCTTCTAGCGAGATTCTTGAATTTGGAATCGGCGCAATTGAGAATCAAGTATGTTGGGACTTCTTTAAGACATGTCACGCTAGTCTCTTTTGGTAGCTGAAATTGTGGGCCTGAGCACTAGAAACGGACCAACCAGCTTAGACAACAGCTTGAAGTAGTGTGTGATGGTGTATCTCTATGGACATGTCGATGTTTGGTTCCGTATACATGTGATGTTTAGTTGCCTGTGCAGGGATTCCGGTTCCCTATCCAACTAAGTCTGCACGTGTCTAGTCGCTATGTATATGAGCCATTATGAGGCCATAGGTCGGTACTGTACATGCTTCCGTACCTCTGACTTGGATGGGAGATCCGACTATATCCAATGAGTCCAAAAAGTACCTGGTAACGTGCTTCATGTAGAGAATTTTTCGGTTTCTAGGAATGATTCTCCTGTAGGCGGTTCCTATCCGATGCTGGGGAAGATTTTGGGGCCCAGTACTTCCCCGCCATATACGAAATCTAGACTACCTTGCACAGACCCGGCATTTCTGGAATTCTTTGGAATTCTCGACTTGTTTGGGGGTATGAGGTCCGACGTCCTGGAGTTCAGGACATCTGTTGTTGAGGTTGTGTAAACTGGCTTGAGCGAAGTACTGGATTAGGAAAGTTTGTGTTTCTGGAAATCTGGACTGCTGCTGATGCTTTCCCATAGGCTCCATCGTAGTTCCTTTTTGTGGTTTGTATTTAGGATCCTGTAAGGTAACCCCGAAAAGGATCTACTTTGGAGCCCATGGCTTCCCCAGACATTGAACCGTCAAGACCCGTCGTGCTTGCGTGGCTTGCGATGCGGGAGCCGAGAAACCCTGCCCGCCTTCGAAATTCGGGATCAGAATGGGGTTTAGGGCTGAGGGCCTTTGGGTTTAGGGTTTAGGGCGTAAAGCAAGGCTCGGGCGTGTTATTTCTTGTGGCGAGGAATACCACACACAGGCATACACGAACGCGCGCAGCTGGCGAGGACCAGTACCAAGTTGGGACGCATCCCAGCAGTTCCGCCCCAGGGCTGCCAGCATGCGATGTGGCTTTAGCATGCGATCTGGTGGATGCACGGCCGCTTCAGCCTTATCCAGCATATGCGGTGTTGTTCTTACGAGGTGTGCCATAAACATACATATGCATATGATATACATGTGCGTCCTGCCTGCTTTCCGAGGCTGGATGCTGTTGAGGTGTCGGATGGAATGCGACAAATGCTCGCACTGCCCACTTTCGTTTGATTTGGGCTGAGGCTGAGGAATTCGGCGGCTGTCC